CACACCCACACCGCCAAAGAGCGGTCTGGTCTGCGCTGTACTGCCGTAAGGGCGCACGCTTCATCCGCGCCGTTTCGCCGAGTATATTGTAGTTGTTTTGTTATATGTCAAAATACATTAATTGCAAATATAGTACTCGTTTTGTGATTTAAATAATTTAATACATTTACTACACATTATTGACACACAAATGTTTTTGCGGCAACGTAGGTTTCATACAGTGTGCCTGTCAGTATTATGTTTTACCTGTTTTTATGACAATTATCACCAAACAATGTAAACATACAGAAAACGAATAATCATTATTGTAAATTATTTTTAATAATTATATATAATTATTATTGTATGTAATTTGTATTTTCAAGCACATAAAGAAAACAGTTTTTCAAAATACTTCTTTGCTTATTTCAAATAGTTTCTTTAAACATAAAATAAATAATTAAAAGAAATAATAAATAATAAAAAACATGTATATGCGTTAAAAAAATATTACAAAACCATCAAGGCGCGAACACGTTACCTCTAGTCTCGTAGTACGACGCTTTGCCGCTGCGCTACGCCGCCACTTCGAAAACTGTCCTATTCCAACGTTATTTATAGTACGTGTAAAACTTTATATATATAAACCGCGATTTCTCTTAAACGCTTAAGTAGTACGTCGTCTCCGGATAACATTCGACACTTCTTCATTGATACTACGTACCTGCAAAATTTAATCAAAATCGGTGACACTAAAGGTGTACCTTCTCCTTGTGAGTTACAGCGTTCTAAAGTTTACACTCACACACACACACGCTAACACAGGCCACCTGAATAATTCGCTTTCTTTTTATCGTAGAAAAAAATACATCAAATCAAAGTTGCTTGGTTTTGAAAGAGGCATAATCTGATATTAATAGTTTTTTTTATAGGTGGAAGATAGTTTTTTTTATAAGTGCCAGACCGTTCTGTTTATGTTGAAAAACTTACCAGCTTACTTGATGATTCTTTCACTTACGTAAAAATAAGAAAAAATCCTTTCGAGAACGTTGAGACTCAACTTAAAGAATTGTTAAGAAATTAAATAAAGATTAAGAAAGATTATATCAATGATTTGATTTACAAATATATTAAATTGAGTAATGAGATCATCCTAAGGGCTTATGGAGTGCCTAAAATCCACAAACAGGGCTATCCATATAGATTAATAGTATCATTTATTAATAGCCCCCTACATTGTTTCGCGGAGTATTTACATAATATCATTGTCAAAAGTATTCCGTTAACCGATAGCTACAGTAACAACAATTTTGATTTGGTCCTTAAACTAGGTAACGTTGCGCTGCAGCCGGATCACGTTTTTCTGTCTTTAGATGTGGTCTCATTATTTACGAACGTTCCGATTGATTTGAAATACATCCGACTCAATACAAAGATCCCTTTCTCTGATTTTTTAAAAACGGTTAAATTTGTTTTGTCATCCACTTATTTTACGCTTAACAGTAATATATATAAGCAAACATTTAGGGTTCCAAAGGGTTCTCCGTTGCTTCCTATTATCGCGAATATAGTGATGCAAGATTTAGAAGTTTCTGTTTAAAAAAAATTAAAATTTAGAAGCTTGGTGTGTGGTGAGGTGTCCTCTGGTTCGTGAACAATAAAATTTAAATTCAAGTAGAGTAACGGGCTTGTCGAAACGGTTGCAAGATGTTTTGCATTAAATGTTAACAATAGTAATGATGCATACGTTTCGATTTTATTATTTTAAGTCATTTTCAGGCGGTTTGTCTGACATACATAATGATAGGAGTTAGTTAACATTAATAAAATAACTGGAGTTTTTTTACAATATCTAACATATCACTGTATATAACATAAAAAAGTGAAGTTTTCATTTACAAAATATAAAGAAGTCAATGTATTAACAAGTGTGTAGATGTTATTACTTTGAAATTATCGTCACGACTAAGAATATTAAACAAATTTTTAAATTTGTGTGACAATATCTGGCTCCTTCTATATCTAGTTTAACTTGGTTGAGATAAGGTAAGTAAGACTCATCTAACAGGGCTGTATCTTGCATTAAATCTTATGTGTCACAAAATTGGTACAGTATACTCTATAGTTGACAGAACCATTCTATTAGCCGATTCCAACTATCATAAAAAGAACTTAGAGTGTTGCATTAACACTTTAATAGCCAACAATTATCCGGTGCAACTTATATTTGGTGAAACAATAAATAGAAGATTGAGAAAGTTATTTGTCACCAAACAAATCTATACAATGTTCGAAGCCTAATGATGATAATCAAAAATCTGCAACACAGTATTTCGTTCTTCCATACACATCAAAAATCAACAATTATAGCAAACATTTTAATACAAAAATTAACAACAATTTTCAAACCAGACTTTCATACATAATATTAAATAATTTCAGCAAATACATAAAAACACAAAATAAATGTTCTCCGTTGGAAATAATTTTTAATGTCATTAATGACCGTATAAAATATCTGATTGCAAACAAAATTAACGGAAAATCAGACAGTTTGGAGTTCACACCAACTTCAAAAATCGTCAAAACTTATTTCGTTGTATCTTTTATATCAATAAATTATCGTACACAATTTTAAAATCGTTGAAAAGGGGAAATGGAAATTTGTTAGCTTATAGAAATCTCAATAAATTGAATCAATTTATTAAAAATATCAAAGATCCTGTAGAAATTGAACAAAAAAACAACATAGTTTATAAGTTGCAATGATTGCGATGCTTCGTATGTAGGCCAGACCATGAGAAAACTCAATACTAGAATTTCCGAACAAAAAAACCGATTAATCGTCGCGCGGAGAATGTTTCTGTCGTTACACAGCATAGAATTGATACGGACCACAATTTTAATTGGCAAAATACCAAAAATTCGGACACAGAATTTTCACTTTTCAAGAGGTCTGTCTCCGAGATGATACACAAATCACAATGCAATTCAATTAACGTTATGTCAGACACGGACAAGCTGAAACTGTATTTTTTATTTTTAGACAATTTTTTTTTTTTTATTAGAATGTAAATGTGCCAGAGGAAGCTTTGTCCTATTAGGCTTATATTACAATACTTTTACGAAATCAAATGTTTTCTTTAGACTTAGGGCCTGAGCACAATAGAGAAAATATTAGAAATAAGCATTAAAAATAGAAGTTAAACGTGCTATACAATGACAAAAAATAAACTATAACAAATAAACACAGGAAGTATGTCATGGCTGCATAATATACAGCCTATATTTATATACATTTATATGTTATATTTTTTTTTTCGCATTGTGCAGTACATTTAATCTCTATTTTTAATTCCTATTCCTAATATTTTTTCTATTGTGCTCAGGCCCTTAGTCAAAGGAATTTAAAATTGAGATTCTGAAGGAGTATGTATAGGGAATTATCTCCATAGACAACCTTCGAAATCTAGCTGTGCAGTTTTGTCCCTATTATCACGCGATATACGGCCTCTTTCACAGTGAGCGTGCCTATCTGTGTCGGGCTCGTGTTGTGACTATGATCGTCTTGTGAGAGGGGGATTTAATTCGGGATTACACTCGAATTAATTTTTAGAGGCTCGATTCAGTTTGCGGATCACCCGATAAACTCGAAAGGAACCGGCCCAGAAAAATCCTTAGGTGGTGAGCGGATTCGAACTCGGGACCTCCGGGTCCCTACACTCAGACCGCGAGACCACTAGGCTCGTCCATTTTTGGAAAATTACAAGGCGACATAGCCATTCTGTGTTCGTTTTCAGGTGTAGTGATGAGGTGAGAAGACCGTTACATGTATCATGAATGTGAAGGGAGGGAGCTGCTCAGTCTGTCGGTTGTTTTCGAAGCGGGAGGATGTTTTGCGTCTTCTTGCGTACGACTGACGATTACTTAGTTGCCACTTTCCTCTCTTTTTTTTCCTCAAACTGAGTATGTTTGAAACGTATCTTTTTTGTATCCATATTCTTCATTATTGTCGCGAATAGATCATGCATTCATTGTAATGGTTTTATGTAGAGAAACCCCCCTCTTTAGAGAAGAACCCTTAATGAATTAAAACGTTTGTATCTTTATTAAATCCTCGGAATAAAGAAGAATTTTACCTGAACATTAGATGTAGCTTATTGCCTCTTTCCTATTTTTTTTATTTAAACATACAACAAGCACGAAACATAATTATGATTTTTGTATACTAGTAAGAGGTAAAAAAGAAATAAGAGAATAAGAAGAGCTAAAAATTGATTGAAAAAAATTGATTGAATGCAATAGAAGAACATCTCATATGCAAGCAGTTATATACGGTATAAGTGTCCTATGTGTCTTGGCCTTGGAAATCAAGCTCTTACATGCTTAGAAGTTGCATCAAGTACTCTTATTATAGATTAGTAGAATGTTAGTACTACAATATGAAACTCGAAAAAATCAAAGAAAACCCTATCTTTCCAGTAATATCCTTGTAAGAACTTATATTTTCTCATTTACTATCCCTCTACACTTATATATATAAAATAACTACTAGGTCCTTTTCAAACTACAATAATTATTTTACGTAATATGATAATATTATTTTACGTAATATAGTTTCACTAATTATCACACTGGTTAATCAAAATTCAAATTACGATAATCCCATTAACAATAAAAAGCTAAAAACGTAACTCAAAACGTAACAAACACTAATATAAAGTTGAAATACAATACAGACACAAAGTGATTGTGTACAAATTACTTCTACTTCTATCTTTTTTTACTTCTACTTCTATCTTTTTTTACTTCCGCGGCATAAATACCGGAGTTACTCTACTACATCTGAATTAATTGTTTATAAATGTCGAGGAAAGCAAGCACGGGTAGGAAAACGACGTTCTGTCGTTTTCTATCCAGATCCATCTTATAAAACTTGTCTCAATTTTATTTTATTTTCATGTTTAGTCAGTACACAAACGCGATTCTTGACGCTCTCGTTTTTCTTGTCTATTTCAAAGCTACTGGGCCATCACAAAGCCGCTGACCTACATGATGAAGAGGACACCGCGGCGGATGATTTTCTACATCTGCCTTGTTTGGTTAGGAGCGGCCTGCATTAGCCTACCACCCTTGATGATAATGGGAAACGAGTACATGGACTCCAAAAATGGACCCACGCGCTGTTCGGTCAGCCAGAACTTTTTCTATCAAATCTATGCAACACTCGGCAGCTTCTACATTCCTTTAGCCGTCATGATCAAAGTATGTCAAGCAGATAAATAGTTTTTACTATTCTTTAGCACTATTTGTTATTATTTTATCATCTAAATTATGTGTCTGTTGTAACATCAAAACATTTGTTGTTTTTATATCTCTTGTATAAGAAAAGTTTGTAAAAATTGACAACATTACAAATAAAAAAAGTTTAAAAGTTACAAACTACTGACAAAATAAAGTATAACTTTTTATAAAACTAAATAATATTTAGAATAATAATAAATAAAAGATAAACTATTTTGCTTTGCAAATTGTTATTTAACTAGTGTGTATATCTACAAATATTATCTACAATATCTACAAATGTTTAAATCTTGTTTTTTGTTTTATTTTCTTATGTGAAAATGCAGGTTGAATAAACGTTGATAAGCGCTATCTTTCTAAGTTACGGCAAAGTACAAGAAGTAGTAGAATTATTTATTGTACTTCAAAATTTGCATTGCAAACTACATACAAGAGTTAACACATTTCTTGGAGAGAAAATTATACAATAGAACATTTGTCGTAAGAAATATACATGCAGAATTATATAAGATGTCTGAAAACTTTTAACACAGCCGAAGTATGTCAAAGATATATTGGGTTCAAATCGAGAAAAGAAATCGGATGAACAAAAACTAGTCAGAATCATCACTTTCTACGCATTCATTGATTTACATTTATTAATTATTAACTCAATAAATATTACAAATTTTGTAAAATGATAAATGGCTTTTTTCTACAGATTGACTCTATCTATCTCTATCTAATCTATCTTTATATTTTAGCTGTGTCAAAATTTGTTAGACATTCTGTATACGGCTATATTATCAAAAACAAAAAAAAGAAAAATACAGCAAAGTCTTTTAATAATAGAACTTACTTACTTTGTTTAAAACTCTAAAATTATATTTTTATTTGTTATGTCTTCTATACAGAGTGTCTAACAATTATTTTAACATCTCTTGTAGGCAGGTAGAAGGAGTAAAACTAAAAGAGTCAGAACGTCCTATATAAACATCTATTTTGCGAGATTCGTAATAGTTGCCGAAATCTTAATTAACAAAGATTCGCGAATAAGCATGTATCGGGTTATCTTATGCGCGTAAGACAGTCCGGCGCGCTTCGCGCGATTACCTTTTATTATGTACAGAAGAGTGCGTCATATCGTTCCGCTCCAAGGGAAGTATTTCTCGGAAATTTTTCCTCCGGTTGCCTCTACTATCGTGCGCCGGTTTCCTTCAATCTCGGGCCGCTAGCAAAGAGCGAAAGAGTACTTGTACGCGATAATAGGAGCAGCCAGAAATTTCAGAAAAATACTTCCTCTGGAGCGGAACGATATGTGGTGCACTCTTCTGTATATGATATAGTATATACTATTATAATAGCTCCTCTACGTTACTACGAGTAACACCGTGAACACTGTATATGTATATATATTGTAACATAATATTAATGCAAAATAGCTCATTTCATCTTCTATTACAAAATGATTAATGTTGTCATTCACACTCAAGTATGTTACATTTGCACACAGAAAAAAGTGGTGCACGATTACACTAAAAATCTCTAAAAACAAGAATTTTTTTATTTTGTATTGCGCTCCCTTATTTATGTTTTACTTTTTTTTATTGCAACGTACAAATCATTATTGAGTATGTGATACATATCTTATAAGATCAGCTGACATAAAAGAAAAGGTTCAGGAGTTGACAAAAGTTTACACGTTGAATGTCACGGGGGTCACCAGTGACCGGCGCACCCAGATTGATAGAAATACATAATTTGGATGTCAATACTTATCAATTTTTCATTATTACCATCGTTAATGGTGTGTAGAAATTAATGCAGTATAAAACATCTAAAAATAGTTTTATTTATACATGAAATACAAAATTTATTATGCGCGCTTATTACGATGTGTCAAATTGAAACATTTTAAACAAAGAAAGGAGGAACCAGCACTCTTTAGCACCGTTTGGAAGTACTTGGTAAAAATGTATCGTCAGTTGAATTGACGCATAATCTTCATTTGAAATCATATTAACTTTAAGAGCTAACAAAAAAATTAAATAGAAGATACGAAGTGCAAAAATTTGTGTAGTGTGTAAAAGTATAATAGGTTTTTACCTGATTGTTGGACACTCTCGAAAAGAATAAAATTGTGGAATTATTATTGAAAAACGTGAACACCGTGAAGAAACAATGAGATAATTGACGACGGCAAAAAATAAATAAGACGTGCAAAACCGCACTCCAGCACCGCGGGGGGGGGGGGGGTCACCGGTGACCACCGTGACAATTAACGTGTTAAACATGATTACACACCGTAATTTATTTGTTGTAGGTAATATTTCAAGATTATATGTATCGTATAATAGAAAATTCATCGTGGCGCCACAGGCAAACTCTGTAAAACTGGCGTGGCATTCAACGTGTTAAAGTTCTATTGCACAATTATATTGATTTTATTTTGGAGTTATATTGTATATCGGAAAAATTCTATTATATACATCACACATTAAATTCTTATTGTTAGTCGAGAAATCAGAGACCATAGCTTACGAGCTGTGCAACTAGCAACATCTGGGAAAGATAAAAACGGTCTCCGTGTAATAGTATTAATAGCGATTTCGGCTGGTCTGCACCGGTGTGCCACCTGTGTAGAGTTGGTGCAATTGTGTGCAACACCGCATCGGTGTGTGTACTGATTACACTAACTGGCTCCGACTAATTTGTGAGAGCCACTTTGTGTACACCAAACATGCACCTATGCGGTGTACTGAGCTCAGACGAATACGCGGAACCAGCAAAGAACTGCTGCCATTCGACCAGCCGAACACACAATTTGCACCGACACCCGAAATGTGCAGTCGGTGCAAACCAGCCGAAATCGCTATAAGAGGATGCTGAACCGCTGGCAAAAGTCCGCTCAGCTGCTACTCAACCGCTACGCTATCGGGTAGGTGGCGCCATCTCTCGGGATCGAGTCAAACAAAAACAAGGATAGATAACATGAGAGAGACAAGGATAGACATATGTCTTTCTCTTCTGGTGCAAAGTTTGGGAACTACGTAGTGCTTCGTGCAGTGTTTTGACAGGAAAAATAACCTTTGTGTCTACAATTTACAGGGTCAATACTTTCTCTTCTTGCAAGTGTTCAAAGTGTTTTTTAATACTTTTGTAATATTCTTACAGGTTCTATCTAGCGGGCCAAAGTGTGTTTTGTGACATATAAACTGTTAAATCTCTAGACATACTTGATAATGTAAGGTAGTCAATTTTCTAATAAAACATTTTTTCGTTTCATAAACATTTATTGTCTCGCCCGATTCATTACACTGTTTTCTTTTATTGTGGAGAACGTTTTCTCATTTGTGCAGTACATTTGACAAAAGTCATTATTCAGACATTTTACTATTTTTATGATAAAACAGGATGGTTCAGCATCCTCTTAAAGAACCACTGTCTAGTTGACAAAGTTCTGTGTTAGGTAGGAAGCGCGAATAGTCATAATAGATCCTGCAAGGTTGCAGCGCCAAGGCTGGTTTGAAAAACATCTAACAAAGATGTATTCGTTCTAAAAAGCATTCTAGCATCTGAGATAAGCGCAAGAAATTTTTTAGCCTACTATAATAGCTCACAGTTTTCGTGAAGAGTATATGCGCTGAGCGGTAATATATACGGCTAGAAGAAAGAGTTTTTTCGGCTCTCTTTTACTATTGCGCGCTATTCTCAGATCTAAATCAGCAGCACCTCATCTAATTATCGGATATAAAAGTAGTGTCGCGAGGATTAGGATCACGAGATTAATTTTGTTATCTCTTCTACTAACTTGTTTAATACTTTATAATTTTGAGACGAGCAATAAAATTTATTCATCAATTCTTTGTTATGTAAAATTTTTATCATTTCAAGTTTTCCAAGTTTTGTTATTTTAATGTGATGAAAAAGTTAGATAATCTTGAGTATTATAAAGGATATAATATTTTCATATTATATCCTTTATATTATATAATCCTTTATAATATAATCTATTATAAAGGATTATATAATATAAAGAATGACGATACTGTAAGTATTGTCACGTATATCAAGTATATTGTATCCTATACAATACAAAATAAAAAAGATCTAGTCATTTCAACAGATATAAGTATACATATTTACTTATAGCGATTTCGGCTGGTCTGCACCGGTGTGCCACCTGTGTAGAGTTGGTGCAATTGTGTGCAACACCGCATCGGTGTGTGTACTGATTACACTAACTGGCTCCNACTAATTTGTNAGAGCCACTTTGTGTACACCCAACATGCACCTATGCGGTGTACTGAGCTCAGACGAATACGCGGAACCAGCAAAGAACTGCTGCCATTCGACCAGCCGAACACACAATTTGCACCGACACCCGAAATGTGCAGTCGGTGCAAACCAGCCGAAATCGCTATTACATCTAATAGCGATTTCGGCTGGTCTGCACAGGTGTGTAGAGTTGGTGCAAGTGTGTGCAGTGCGTACACTCATGTGATGTTGCACTGGATATTTCGACCACAGTAGTGTATCAGCCGAACACGAGACAACACCAACTGGCTCTAACTAATTTGTGAGAGCCACTTTGTGTACACCCAACATGCATCTATGCGGTGTACTGAGCTCAGACAAATACGCGGCACCAGCAAGGAACTGCACCATTCGACCATCTGAACACACAAGTTACACCGACACTCGAAATGTGCAGTCGGTGCAGACCAGCCGAAATCGCTACAAGTATATATATTTTCAAGAGAGAAGAGAAATTAGATAGACAAAAAGTTCGTCTATTTCGCGCATTTCCTTGACTACAAAGTCTCTCTATTCCACAGCTATTAGCTGCTAACGAGTATTCTGTTAATTCCGCGTGCAACGCTATCCCACTTTTTTTCTTCTATGTGCAGTAGGATTCTCTTCTCTCTTTAAATTCAGTGTAGTCACACTCTTTTATGAACTTTCTCCGCTCTCTCCACAGA